ACACACACACACACACACACACACACACACACACACACACACACACACACAAACACACATACAAACACACTCACACATTCTAAAGCACAAGCAGACATTCATGTCAAAGCAAAATAAAACCCCTGAAGCCCTTAAAGTCTGTGAGGCTGGTGAAGATAATCATGAAGGAATGATATGTACAAAAACACGAGGATGCAGGGTGTGTCGTTCTAAGTTTTTACGTGATATCTGAAAATCCAAACATTTCCCCCTGAACGATTTTCAACTCTTCACAAGTTACGAAACACCGATTTGCTACACATGCTTCGAAGGCATTATGCATTAAATAATGTTCCATGTATTTACTTTTGTATTATTTGCTGCAAGAACGCTCATTTTGGACATACGAGAATGTTTTGAAAAGAAAGATATGCCTGAACTTTAGTAATCCCATCTGTCTATCTCTCTCTATCTCTCTATCTCTCTATCTATCTATCTATCTATCTATCTATCTATCTATCTATCTATCTATCTATCTATCTATCTATCTATCTATCTTGCTTTGGTAAATGCCAGAAACAAATATTATGCCAGCAAAAACAGGTTACAAGGTCGGTTCCAACCACTGTTGTTTTTTTTTTCTCTCTTGATTTTCAGTTTCAGTCTGACATTGTGACGTAATCGACAAGAAAAAGATTCCTTGTTTGGTTAAAAAAATATGATCACAAAATCTGTGTTGAACCTTCATGCCGTTAGGATTTAAAAGCTATAAAACACCGAAAGAAAGACACATGGAAAAGAATCATGCTGCCAACTCTAGCTCAATGACGAAAAAAACTGTAGCACTTAAAGGGCCTTAAACATTATTAAACATTACTAAGGGACGTCTTGGGGTATCTGTCTGATCCAACCGTAAGCTCTGTCAGATTTGCGTGATTTCTGAAAGAAGTCATTCGTAATGCTCAATAATTTTTCTAAACTGCACTTTCTTCTTTGGTTTCTTTGCTTCGTTCAGAGATTGCAAAAGTCTGCAATCTGAAAGAAATCGTTCGTGGCACTCAAAATTGTCATATTTTTTGTATTGTCTTTTCTTCATGCAGTGATCAGCATTTTGCCTTAGATTGCAGTACACGACCCGGAAGGACACTTAGTCTACGAACTGTGCCGTGCTCCTTGAAGATGAAGGTCGACGTGTTGGCTCTGCTGCTTTTTAACCTGCTGGCGAGTGGTTTGCCGAGTATTGCTGCTCAAAACTTAAATTCACCTGTACAGCCTGCAAAGGTAAACACAGATGTACAATTCTAAGCCGATAAGATTAAGAGTATCGTTTTATTTCTTTATCAATTTGTTTATAAGGAATACCCTGTTTGCTTCCTTTCGATGTAGTTTTATTTTACGATTTTAAAAAAAAGAAAACAAAAACCTATTTCATAAACACATTTAGCTGGTTAGCTGGAGCAAAAAGAGGGTTTAGGGGTGGGGGGCAAGTGTAATAAATATGGAATTTGCCTGTATAGTAAGCTAAGCCCAGTATCGCAAAACAACAGAACAGTTGGGCACCTTTTTAATCTGTGAATTGTGGACAAAGAGGATGAGAGAAGTACAACATAATAGCTGCCTGGAGTTGGAATGGCAAGGTTTGTTTATTTTCGTTGTTCACAACTCACGGACAAAACAGCTGGTCGACTAAAAAGAGGCCTTTCTGTTTTTATTTTCTTTTCCAAACATGTCTCACAGATCGGCGAGGGCTCTTTGTTAGCTCAGTTGGTATCATGCTTGACCACGGAACGGAAGACCCTTGTTCGAATCCAAGACTGGGTGTTTTTTAACTCGGGTCGTTTTGTGGAGTGTTCAGACTCGCAATTAATTTAGCTCTGTCCTCTCAGAAATGGACGTTACATTAGGAGATTCTGCCTCTTAAATAAGCTAATTTGTTAATGATATTATGTGACAATGTGGTTGATGTGTTAAACCCAAGGTATGATAAAGTTATTTGCTATTTTACAGACCGGCATCGAGAGGCTGGAGGAGAAAATCGACCGGCTCGGCAACGAGCTGGCTAAGATCGGACTGAACATAGACAGGCTCCTGGAGAAATCCTACGACCCGGAGTACGCGCCCAAACCAATCTGGCCTCCCCTGAAGCTGGAGAGGGCGAGCCGCGAGTCCCTGGATAAGGGCGGGAGTAAATTCACGGTCTGGTTCTCCACCACCAACCCGATGGTAGCGGCCACACCGCACTGGAAGCTCAAGCCTGTAGGGAAGACAGCGGCAGATACGCTTCCTTCAACGCTTAATAGGTTCAATAAGATTGACGAGTCCACGGACTTTGTGACCACTGTTGAGGTGAAGGAGGCTGGACAGCTGACGCTGGATTTGATTGAGAAGGATTACAGGTGATGCCTTTTAATGTAGATGATTTTACGTCTCTGTAGACACAATTTGGGTCATTTAGGAGGCGGAATTCAAACCCTACCTGTCAGTGGATGAGAGGGATTTCAGCATCCCAGGAGAAAGACCTAGATGCTCAATAAAAATTTCTCCCACTCTCGGGAATTGATCTCGGGTCTCCTGCGCGCGACGGTGAGGTGCCTAAATGTTAGGCCACACACGCGGTGGTTTCAAGTGAGATGATGATAATTATATGCAATTATCATTACCATGTGAAGAATTTGTGAACGTTAGATTTAAGAAAGACTACAGGTCGGTGAAGTGTGGTATATTTGTGAACGTCAGATTTGCTCTAAAAGGATTATAGATAAAATTGGGAGAGAACGTGTTGTGACAGCTAATGTGTGTGTGTGTGTGTGTGTGTGTGTGTGTGTGTGTGTGTGTGTGTGTGTGAGCGTGTTTGTGTATGTGTATGTGTATATGCATTTATGTAATCTCCGTCCCTCCCTCCTCAGGTTTGAGTTACTGCTCCTGTTCGACAACTCAGAAAGCACGTCCAAGCAGTCTCGCTACCAGAAGGACATCCCCTTGCACAACTTCGCCGTAGACGCGGAGGACGTCATCAGCTACAAGGAGGGCGAGGCGGTTGTCCTGAAGATCACGGCCGCTAATGGCGACGGGGACAAGTACCAGATCCAAGAGGGACTGGACATCCAGTACCTGAGCCCGGACAAGAAGGTCGGTTACTACAGCTGGAGACCCGAGGAGGTGAACGACATCGTGTGCCGGGCGAAGGTGACCAAAAAGTACTTCAGCCACTTCGACATGGATCTGACCATCAACACGGCGAGAGTCAGGCCTATTGGGTACACGCGCGTGCATTCCACGTTCAGAGATTCGTCCAAGTTAGTGCAGGGAGTTAGGCTGGTCAGAGTGTTGAGTATCCGGCCGTCAGATCAGGCAAACGCATACCCCAACAACTTCCTAGATATCGTTGCTATCGGGGGTGAATGTTCTTACTCTGAGATGAAATGCCCAGCACAGTGCGTTGTCTATGGTAATAGCATAAACGCACAAAGCATCAGAATTGATAGGCTTAACGATGACGATAAGAAAACGAGAATTGCTTCGGAAGGGTTAACCCACCAGACGGTGCTGGGATACGCTTCAGCCACCGCGTACATCGACATTCCAACCGACAACCGCAAACCGCAGTCGGACAGATTCGTCTGTTCCGTCAATCCTAAAGGCCAGAAAAAAGTAGAGGACGAAGGTGTCCTCAAATATCGCGTGAAAACTTCAATTGTGAAAGACAAGTCGTTTTATGAGATAAACGAGTCGCAAGTGAAGATCACGTGCTCAGCCATGGGTGACCCCAGACCGCAAACTATGGCGTCTCTGAGCATGAAGCCAGAGGGCAGCATGACCTCTATCGAGCTGAACTATCAAGACTACAACTCCCTGCAGGTCGGCCCCACAGAAGTGGCTAGTGTGTTCACTTACAGGCATTCTTTCGGACGGATTGACCTAGATCGGGTACGCGCTACTTGCTACGCTCGGGGTGACATGGATGACCCCACAGACAAGGACGAATATGTACTCACACAGAACTACTATCTAACCAAAGACAGGGATTAATGAGTGCAAAAGTAGAGACAGCATATTATGGCATTAAGAAATCAAAGATTTAAGGAGCATCAAACGTATAAAAATGATAATAACAAATTGAGAAAAATAAGACCAAGAAGCTAAAACATCCCCTAGATATGGCTGGTTATGGTTAACGACAGGTGCTAGTGAAGTAAAACCTAACCAAACAATCAGATGGAGATACTGATTATGTACTTAAGCAAGATTAATGTTATTGCAAATTAGACAATGAACGGTTACATAAGTCTGAAACAAACAGCTAAAGCAAGTGTAAAAGATCCTAGTTAATCACACTGCTTTCTCGATTGCAGTAACATTCTCTTCCTTCCAGCCTTGAAACGATTACCACTTAACCCACGAGGGGGAATCATTTTTAATTTAGACCATGGAAAGACACACCAAGAGCAAAGATCTGCCATTTTTCTTGCGTCAAGGAACCTGTTCATAAACTCGTGGTGCAGTGTAGTAGCTTACAGAACCGGATTACTGTCACAAACTGAAGTGAAGAAAACATCACAAGCAGATACTTTACCTAGATATGCAAGCGACGGGGCTGAGCTAAGAACTAATAAGATTTGCTAGGTCTTTGCTAGGATTGGTGAATAGATACCTAATTGTTTTGCTCTTCAGAGGTCAGAAATGATAGATTAGGTCCATTTTTGACAATGTTCTTTCTTTTGATTTCTTTACCCCCACCCCCACAAGAAAAAAGTCACCCAAAGTATAGAAAAAAGTACCTTTACTTGATGCCTTTTCAAAGTTTCGAAACACAATTGCGTTCTTTCCTTTTAAAAAGAAAAGCAATAGTCATACTCGTTTTATTGTTGTTCTATTTTCGTGGGGGTTTTTGTGTAGTGATTAGTCAAATGCCAAATTGGATACTTGCTTTAACGTGTGAAATAGAAACTCTTCTTTTTCTATCGTGCCATTAAGTGTATGTTTTACAGTTTCAAGTTATTGCCAAACCGTTAATTACGTCATTGCAGCACTGTCAGCTTGCTTATGGTATGTAGTAGGCTTATGTATTGTCGTGGTTAAAAGTTTCTTTGTTTTCTTTGTACTTAGTTCACGTTGCAATCTTGTATCTCTATGTTGGCAAGTAGCACTGATGTTCTGATTTTCCATAGCATTTTTTAATGTCCTTTTTAATAGAATTGGTCCTCCATGATATCGACATTGATGCAGATAACTGGCAATATTAATGATTCGGGATCGACTTTGTAGGGAACTGTATTCAGTCCATTATGCCCAACCTCGAGACATGTACAATGCATTTTTGTGCTGGGCCTATTCAAATCATCATTCCCAACAAAATTCCGTTTACTAATGTGTCTTAGAGAACAAGGTTCTTGTCACCATAGTTCTCTCCCTGCCACTGTAACCATTTATATTATATTATGTATCAACTGTATAATCACTGCATATCGAACATTTTTTAAATTGTTTTTCCTACAAAATTATTTTTAAATATTATGTACTTTTTATAATATTTTTGAACCTCGAGATGACCGGTGCTGCATAGTATTCCATGTAGCCTACTACCCGCCTCATTGAAAATTAAGAAAACTTTTGTCGTTTGTCCGTTTCTGTGTATTTTTTTGGCTTTTGACTGCAAAAAGGAAGCTCGTGCCTTTATTACTTTTTTGTCTTCCAAAATGCAAACTTTAGATTGGTACCTCCTTAAAGATAGCTTCATTTAAACTGTTTGACCTCTTTTTACTGGAGAAAACTTTAACCGAGTCAGAGACGCATTTGGTGCTGGACTGCCGCTGACTTTATAATACAGGTAGAATGGTTAATATTCGTTACGCGAGGCTTGTATAGCAATATTTGGAAAATAAAATGTAGACTATTGGAACTAGACTTAATTGTTCAAACTGTTCTTTTCACTCCTTCAGTCTTTGAAAAAGGGGCTGCGGTGTGCGATCGTGATGCTGTACACCATCTTGTGTTGGGCCAACGCTCGTTTGTCATTTTTCTCTTAGCGTGCATACTTTTTGTTGTTTCCTGTTTGTTAAGGTAAAAGGAATTGATTCTGTCGTCTATGATTTTATTACAATTGTCATAGCTAATAAAACCTTAAAAAACGAGTCTACGCTAGAAGGACAGAATCGTCTCACTGACCAGAAACAATAGGAATTTTAAAAACTATGTGTTGCCAACCCTTCTATATATGGCTGAGAATTGTGGAAATTAGTTAAGTTGCTGAAAATAGACAAGAGGCAACTGAATTGCGGTTTGCTGGGGGACTGTTGGACATTTCAAGAAATAAAACGAACACAAATATGGTCGTCCCTAAAGAAGCCTGCATAGGATCTAAATTGAGTTGAAGGGGGCGTATAATACTTACAATTACATTTTTGTTATCTTCAAGAACAGAATGAGATACCCCCAACAAGTAAAATATTGCAATGCACCATACTATGCTTATCTTTGGCGTTAGCCATTTCAGTCCAGAAACCGTGGGTCAGGTCGGACTGAGATATTTGAGAGCCCCTGCAGTCGAGTGGTTCTCAAGAATTGCCTAGCAGCGATCTTCTTTAACTCCTAGAGTACATGTGATCTGGTCTTTTGACAACTCTGAAAGACACACACTCTGTTTAGGAGCATAGCTTTGTTATTCATAAACAGTTTTCAGTCCTGTTGTCTTTTTCTGAAATGTTAGAATTCTGGCAATAGCATGCACTTTTTTGTTTTGTTTTGGTAAGTGTTTTACGGCGTCCGCTACTGCATATAGTCGTACGAGCACGCACTGCTATGAAAATGCAAATTCGTGTTTCTGGAGTTTGAAAAGTACCTAGTGTTACATTTGGTCTGCTGCTAATCAGTCTGATATTGGATGTGTCTGCAATGTCTTTAAAGAGTTACGGGACTTCCATTAATATCTATTGTGGTCAACATGTTGCTCTCTATCATAGTCACTAATGCTATCCTGAGAATTATTACTTGTGTACAATCATGTTATTACACCGCCGTAATGTGTAGTGCCTTGTGCTGTGTGTACACGGGTGTAGAGGCGCTGTAAAAATAATGAGCATTATTATTATGATTATTATTATAACATCCATGCACCACAAAACACATTTCCGTCCTCATGCATTACTGAACTTGTTTCTGTGCCTTTCTTCTCTTCTGCGTCCCACAAGGCTATCATGTTGGTCCGAGATTGGAATGGACATGGTTCGTATCCCGAATGAGGTATTTTTAAAAATGAAGTTTATATTGCTTGCGGAGTGATCATGGCACCCCACCACTTTAGCTAAGTCATATCGGTGATGGACGTCAAATAGGAGGTCGCGCCTCTTACATGATGTACAGTGTTGGAAGGACGTTAGAACCCAAGCAATAATCGTTTTTCGATTTTTGTGGGATGTGTTTTATGATTTTGTCCTGAACGATGGAGCATTACGTTAGCTCAGTTGGTATCATGATGGACCACGGAGAGGATGGGCCTGATTCGAATCCCAGAATTTGGGTTCTTAAACTCGTTCTGTGGCGTTTCCAAAATTATCAAAGCTCTCAGCCCATGTGGCTCGGTCCAATCGGAGACGAATGTTGAATTCAAAGGTTCCTACCTCGAAATAACCCAATAATGTTGATAGTGGCGCTAAACCTATATTCCTACTTACAGAATGATGCAGTAGAAATTTTCAGAATTTAAAGAAGTTTTTGTGAGAATTAAGTAATGTATAGGGCAGAAGTCGGTTTTCTTGGGGCGGGCTGTTCGGCCAAGGGGTATAAATGCTAGAAGATATGTACTGCATCAAGAAAAATGATTGACGATAAAGAGGCATCAAAGTAAATGCCATCCAAGTGGAAGCATGAGCTAGAGTTGTTCTATATTTTATTGTCAACGAAACCAAAGAGGAGGAACGTGGGGATGGAAAGGAGGGGAGGGGACGGTCAGAGAGGGGAATCTCGTCATGGTGTGAGATGTGCCCTGGGTCTAGTTAAGGATGCCCCCCTCCCCCCAAATTTTTTTTTTTAAGTCAATCAAGGAATAAAGTAAATAAATGCAAATAGATAAATAATTTTATAAAAAATAAAAAATAAATAAAATTTGAAACAAAACAGACAAAGAGATACCAATAAAACAAAACAAATACAAACGAAAACAGGTAGAGCTACACGAATTCAGACACACAGACGCAAACACACAAACACAAACATGCACATACACACGCACGCACATGCACATACAAACACACAAACACACAGCAGGGGGACATCCGTAATGTATCATCTACACGGGATATTTTTTGTGTTGAGCCACCTGTGAATTATGCCATGAAAGCTGCTTCAGTTTTCGGAAATGTGGGAATAGTAAATACACCATGATATACTTAAAAGGGAAATTACGTCAGTTATGGGAATCCTTTTTCAATTTCAGCACTGACTGATATCTAAAGCAATATATTTTACAGCATGTGTGTGTATGTGTGTGTGTATATATATATATATATATATATATATATATATATATATATATATATATGTGTGTGTGTGTGTGTGTGTGTGTGTGTGTGTGTACATGTGGGTGGGGACACGCTTTTTCTGACATTTGATGCAAAAACGGTGTTTTGAACAACAATTTTCATAAATGAAAACATGGTGATGTCTGGCAACAAAGCAAATTTCTAATCTAAGCAAGAAAAAAACTTTACGACAAATTCTGCCAGGGCACATTCTGAGACGTTCATGAGGCAAGTAGTCTTACAGAAATAAACATAATGCTTTGAAACTGTTAACTCTATCTGGGGGGTGTAATTTTTTGCACACCATGATGTCAAAACTGTCTGGCTTTTTAATTATTTTGTTTATTCGTTGATTTAAAATTCATAGAAGAGACAGAATCCTTTTTTGTTGTTACGGTAATGACACAAGACGTGGCAATAAAGCTTCTAAATTTTCAAAAAGAATAATATGGCAAACTCTTATTCGCCTGATTCGGTCTCATCAGTCATAGCAGAAGCAATTAGTTATTTTGGTCCTTATTTTTTTCTATTTTGCTTTCTTAGAAATACTATCCTCTGGGGAAGCACTCGTCGTCGTTAGACGTTGACGGATTAAACATTACGAAATGATCTCGTGCAATAAATGATGAAACCGAAATTAAGACTGCTAAAGAGAATCATTTAGATGTGATCGGGGAAAAAAGAAACACGATGGTTTCTGTTCATACTTTTGGAATATTGTTTACCCCACTGAACATGCTACTCACAGTAATCAATCTACAAAGGCACGGGTAGGCCTAGCAAACGTTCGCTGGAAGGCGTCAAAGAAGTCCTATAAAATAATGATTATATGAATAACAGAAGCAACACACCTAGCCCTCTGCCGAATATTGCATCTCCTCTCGATATCCAACGACACAAGAGGAGGGATACAATAAAGCAAAGTTTCTCCTGTTTCATCGTGGTTCCAGCCTTTCCAAAGAACTCGGTTTCCAGTTATAACCAATAGTTAGGCTCCTAGCGTAGAATAATAAATAATGCACGTTTTTCAAGCAGGCGGAGAAAATCTAGACCCCTCACCGATTCGAACACTGAACATCCTCATTTAGGACAAAGTCATGACTGACAGCGGACGAGTAGCGCAACAGCTGTAGATCAAGAAGAACAAGAAGAACAAGAAGAACAAGTAGAACAAGAACAAAAACAAGAACAAAAACAAGAACAAAAACAAGAATCAGAACGAGGGCAAGAATAAGATGGGAAGGCAGAGGAGGAGGAGGAGGAG